CGGGCTGCGGTCCTCAGGGCAGGAGGATCCGGCCCTGGGCTGCTCCCCCGAAGGCCCCGAGGGGAGGGTTCCCCCCGGGCTGCACCCCTCATGGATGTAAAGGAGGATCCGTCCCTGGGCTGCCCCACTGAGGGCACAGAGCAGGCTGCTCTGTGAAGGAGAAGGGGTGGGGGGGCACCCCCCTCCCCGATCTGCACTCCCATGGGCACAGAGTGGGGTCAGTCCCGGGCTGCACCCCTGGTGGTTGCTGATTTGGGGTCCCCTGCAGGCTGCACGGTACCCTCAGTGGGTGATGGGGACCCCCCGTGTGCTGGGTCTGTGCTGCACTCCCAGTGGGCAGGCAGTGGGGACCCCCCTGTGCCCCACATCTGCATCCCCGTCATGATTCTCCGGGGGGCTGTGCTTGGCTCCCCAGGGCTTGGGGTTCCCTCTCCTTGAACCTCAGGTTTTGGCATGACCCTTGAGCTTGGGCTTGCCTGCTGTGGAATGATTCTTTCTTTGTATGGTCAGGCTAGGTTCCCCAGGCTGGACACCCTCCCTTTCCCCCACGTCTCAGTCCCTCTGGCTGGAGCAGGGTGAAGGGGATCCAGGTGGGATTAGGGGACAGTGAGCCATCCATATGGGGCTGGGCAGCCCCTTCACTGGCCCAAAGACCGGAGAGTGCTTTGGCATGCAAAATGGAAGGCATTTCCAGCGGGGACATCAGTGTCTCAGCCCCTGGAGGTATAAGGTGCTAATCCGGATCTCATGCCTCCATTTGGGCCCCACTGCTGCCACAGTCCTCTTGGCTCCTTCCCCTGGCAGGCCTGCAGGGCCCTCCCGTGCTGGCTGCGGGGTGGTGTTTCACCACCCCAGAAGCAGGGCCATGGAGCCGGTTCTGGAGCCCAGAGAGGCGTTGGCAGCTGTGGCAGTAAATGCAGTCAGACAGGCTGAAGCTGGGTGTAGCCGGAGCTGTAGGACCAGTGCTGTAGGGAGAGTGCTTGTCTGAGCTGCTCCAGAGCTGTGCTGTCACTGTGTGGCTGTCTGTGCCCCTGGCTGGCCTGGCCCTCGTTGATGAGAGCTCAGGGCCTGGAGTCTGCCTCCTGCGAAGCCTCTTCTCTGCACAGCAACAGAGAGCCCCCATGGGGCTGGTCTTGTGGCCCTGGTGTGCAGCTCTCAGGAAGTTCTCTGGTGCTGGGAAGGAGGTGGGGATGTACTGCAGCCATGGGCATCAGCAGTGCCTCGTTCCCAACCCCAGGGAATTGCGTGCATTCCCCAGACAGGTTCTTGAGGACCTCGGTATGCGTGCCTGCCCTCCTCCTTGCTCGCAGAGTGCACTGCAGTGTCTCTGTGGGCTCCGTTCCTGGCAGGTTTGCCTTCCTGTCACAGGCTCAAAACAGCTCTGCCTTTGCTGGCTGGAGATTGCTGGAGACTCAGCTGACAGCTGTGGGGTCACCAGTCCATGTCCACAGGCATCCTCTGCCTGGCCATTTGCAGGTTCAGATTTGCTCAGGTTGTCTCGGTGCAGTCAAAGTATCTATCTTTGTCCAGTCCCGTGCCTTAAACAGTCACCCTAATCTCCAGATAAGATAAAACACCAGTGAAAACACCATAAAGACATAAATGCTCAGGGAGATTCCTCTAGGAAGGAGAGGTGCTGGCTGAATTCCACCAGGGACAGGAGACCACTGGACGCAGCCCTGAGCCCTCTCATGGGTGGAAGGAGACCCCAGGTACCATACAGCAGCAGCGCAGGGAGGGTTTGCTGGGTTATTGGCTCTGGACACCAGTGCAGACAGTGCACTTCCCCTTCCCCTTGCTGGCATCAGTAGGCAGTGTGGGGCGAGGGTACTGGGGCCTGGGGCGGGCAGGGTGGGCTGTGCTGCCATGCTCTGCTCTGTTTTGGAAAGGGGGGGATTTGGGGCCCTGTTGGGAGCAGGCAGAGCCGATTGGGCTGGGAACGTGACGTCCTCTGAACGCAGAGACCTTGCTGGCTTCTGTTTGAGCTCTGATGTGGCTCAGCTGGTGTCCATTGTTCTGGCCAGCCTGGAGGTCTTCCGTCTCTGCCTCATGTATGGAGGGCTGTTGTGGATTGGTGTGCTGGGTTGGAAACAGCAAAGTCACGTCCTTCTTGAACCGACTTGCCGCTGGTTCATGAACACCAGCCCCTGTGGGGTCACCTGCAGCTGCCATAGCTGTTTTTCTCTTCCTCTCTAGCTGGTTTCCAGAATGGAGGAGCCACTGTCAATGGAGATGTCTTTCAGGTGAGAGCTCAGCCCCTTGCCCTGGCTGGTGTTGCCAAGGGAGATTAGGTGGGTACGGGGCCAGCACTCCGGTGCCCTGTCTGCAGGATTGGTTGGACTTTGCTGTCCAGCCTGGAACAGCTGTGGTGCTCCTGGGAAAATCTGGGTCTCATGTGAGGGAGTTCTGACTGCTCTGTTCTCACCTCTGTGTGAAAGTCTTGTCCCCCCTACCATGGCCCAGGGCTGGGAGTTAGAAGTTTTGGGACTGGCAGAACCAGCCTGATCCTCTTCCAACTGTGCCCCAACTTGCTCCAAATCTGTTTGCAGGTGGGCTGTGCCCTGAAGGAGTGCCTGGATCCTAAGAGCAGATGAAAAGCCTGGAGAAATCCTCCATTCTCCAAAGGCCCCCTCTCTCTAGCCTGGCTCCTGGAGGCCTCTAGGGCAGTAGGGAACATCTCTTGGCAGAGTCTGGAGACAGGACAGGGTTGCTGTGGGGAACCCCCTTTGCTGGTGCATGGCAGTGGTCTTGCTATAGAGCCCCGGCAGCATCTCTCCTTAAACCCGCATGCCTCATGGCTAAGGGTGTGTCAGGGGGCCTCCTGCCTGGGTCTCAGCCCCTTCTGGGAGCCCCAAGCCCTGCTGCGGTGGCGACAGGGGAAGCAGTGCCAGAAGCTGACGAGCTTTTCGTTCCACTCGCTACCAAGTGCTGTGGCATGTGCATTGCCCGTGCTTAGTTTATGGGATGATAATCACATCAGAGATGGGACAGACTTAATTAGATTTGGGGATCTTGGAGGAGAGCTGTAATCCCATCCCTGAGCTTAGAGTGGGGCTGGGCATCCTGACCAGCAGTAGGGGTTAGGAGAGATGCTGATGTGGGCAGAGCAGGATGCTGGGCTTGGCGGGAGCTATAGAGGGCAGCTTGCTCCGAGGAGCGAGGGAGGTTTTGCCTGCAGGCGGGTCTCCAGGCAGAGTGGTGCGTCCCTTGGGCCCTGCTGCTCGCCTGGGCTCTTTCAGTCTGCGGTGGCCAAACTGCCAGACCTGTGATGATGCTAATTCTTGGGGTTGCCCTACCTCTCCTGCCTCTGCCCCGAGTCAGAGCTGTGAAAGCCCAGCGCTGTGACCTCACAGTGAGGCCATGTGGTTGTGGGCACGATGTCACAAAGCTACCTGGCCATTCTCTGCCGTGGGGCGCGCAAAGAACGTGGGCGTCATGTTCGCAGCGAGCAGCCAGCCACGGAGAGGGGGGCTGGTGAGTCCTGCCATCTGGCGGGGCCTGGGCCCCAGGGCTGGGAACTGGGATGGCAGCTTGAGCAGTGCTGTGGGGACACTATGCTGGATGCCCTGGGCTGGTGTGTGGAGGGTAGTCACTATCCCTGCCACCCATTTCAGCCTTTCTCAGTGATGGGAACGCAGAGCCCTGTCCTGCGGTGTCAGCCCTTAGAGGTGGCTGAGCTGGGCTGTAGGAGAAGCTGACGCTGACAGTGAGGCAATTGTGTCCTGCAGGAGTCCAACGGCCCCACAGATGCTTATGCAGCCATAGCCAAGGCTGACCGGCTGACCCAGGAGCCTGAGAGCATCCGCAAGTGGAGGGAGGAACAGAAGAAGCGGCTGGAGGAGCTGGGTGAGATGCAAAGCCGTGTGGCCGCTCTCGTGGCCCCTCATGATGTGGCAGTTGGGGCCCTTGGGGTCCCTCACCTGGCAGCGAACTTGCTGCACTCCAGAGAGGTGTCTCGTGCCCCACACCATATGGATACCCCTGCCAACAGTCTGCTGTCCTTGGAGGCAGTGATGGCTTTCAGACAGTGCTTTAGTGGGGACTGGGGACAGGCCTGGGCTGGGGATCGGCAACTGTCCTCCCTGCTGGGGGGATGCCCAGCAGAGCCCGAGCGGTGCTCGTCTGTCTGATGGGGTCTGTCTGTCCGGCCCTGGCGTTAGATGCAGCACCAAAGGTGCCTGAAGGAATGGCGTGAGAAGGCCAAGAAGGACCTGGAGGAGTGGAACCTGCGTCAGAATGAGCAGATGGAGAAGAACCGCGCAAACAACAGGTACCTGGGAGTCAGTGCGGCCGCTAGGGCTGAGGCCACTGTGGGGCTTGGAGGGAGCTGCTGTACAGCCAGATTTGCCTCCCTGGGATGTCTGGTGATCCCTGTTCCCATAGTGAAGCCCAGCGCTGCACAGAGGTAACTGCCAGGCAAGGGGAGAAGCCCCAGCTCTTTGAGCAGCTCTGGTAGCTGTGCCGAGCTGCCCTGGCCCCAGCTGAAGGTTGGGTTACTGCTGGGCCTTACGCTGGGGCAAGGTTGTGGCGTTGTTTCTGGGCAGTCCTATCATCGGTGACAGGTTTTTCTGGTGCTGTGTGCCATGATGAGTCAGTCGCGCTCTGTGGAGGACGCTAACCCCCTCTCTGTTTCTCTCTCTCTAACCCTCTGCCTGCCTGTCTGCTCTGCGCTCTCTCTCTGTCTGCGCCTCGGGGGCTAGGATCGCTGACAAAGCCTTTTACCAGCAGCCGGACGCCGATGTGATTGGCTATGTGTATGTGCCTCCTACAGACCATATTGTGCCCCGCAGGGTCTCGGGGTCCTAGCCCCGGCACTTTGGCTGCCCAGCCAAGGGAAGGGGGGATGCTGGGAGGTACTGGGCTCCCATGAGCTTCCTGGTGGGAGGGCAGTGTGGCTGAGCATCTCCAAATACTGGAGTCTTAGGAGGCAAGTGGAGCTCTTGAAAATGCCCCTGCAGAGGCTAGTTGAAGAGGCCAAGCCATGGGGTCTTGTGCCTCTAGGGGGACAGCCCTGGGGGCAGAGGAGTCTTGGGAGCAGGCAGGGACCCCAGTGTCCCTGGATGAATGCTGTCGTGGGTGAGTGTAGCTTGCAGCACCCTTGAGCATCTCAGGGATTCTGGATCCTGGAGGAAGCTGAGCTCGTTGCCTGGAGTGATGGGACTGGAAATGGGGACGTAGGGGTTCCCAGGCAGAGGGAAAGGTCTCTTTGGAAAGGGTTCTGCCAACGACAACCCTCAACATCTCTGCAGGGCCTCGGAGGAAGCGTTCCTGAAGGAGTCCAAGGAGGAAGCCCCGGGCTCTGAGTGGGAGAAGGTGGCCCAGCTCTGTGATTTCAACCCCAAAAGCAGCAAGCAGAGCAAGGATGTCTCGCGGATGCGCTCAGTGCTCATCTCCCTCAAACAGACGCCCCTGTCCCGCTAGCTGCCGCCCAGCACAGCCAAGAGCACAGCCAGGCTCACCGGGACCGGTGGCTTCACGGGGCCAGCCCGTGAGGGGTCCTTGCCCTGCCCACCCCCTGCTCCCTGGCATGCACCTCGGCTGTGCTTGAGTCTCCAGTTGTAACTCTCCCCATGGTTTTCCTTTGCTTAAAAGGTGCATTGGTCTCTTTTTACACTTATTTATTACTGTGGCATTTCCCTGGGAAGCAACACTAAATGGCAGAGCTGAGTTAGTGGGGGGGCCCCCAGCCTGCACTCTGTGGGCAGGTCATGCCCAGGGCCTGGCTCAGAGAGAGGGGAGCCCCTGGGGTTCTTGTGTCCCCTGGTGTTCCCCACCTTGCACCCAGAGCAATGCTCAGAGGCTAGGAGTAAACCTGCCTGCTTCCTGCCCCAGGCTGTCCCAGTGCTGTGCTGCTCCAGGCATGACAGTCCTGTGTCCGGGCCTGGGTCCTAGTCCTGAGGCGGTGATCCTTAGTGGCAACTTGGGCTCCAGCCTGCCTTTGCTGTGGGGTTTGGAGCAGAGCTGGCTACAGGGCTGAGGTGGTGGAGGAACAGCCCTGGCTCTCAGCTCCACTCTGCAAGGTCCTGCTGGGAGCATGATAGAAGCGTGATGCCAGCGGGGCGGTGGGAGCGAGGAAGGTAAGTGTGGGGCACCCAGGGTGGGTCGAGCCTGCCAGCGCTCGGCACCAAGCACAGCAGAGCTCTCCCCAGCCTAGCGCTGCACCCCAAAAGGCTAGTGGGCTCACAGCAGCAGTTGCAACGTTGGAGTCCCATCCATGCCGTGGGGCTGCTGGTGCCAGACAGCACTGTAGTGAAGGCTGCTGGAAAGGGACCAAAGGGGTGAGCGTGCAGGGTATTTCCTGTCCCTTCCCAAGGCTGCTGCTGTTGGAAAGATGCTTCAGGGGCTTTCAGGTCTGTTCTGCTCCTTCTTCTGCTATCTGGAAGGGAGTCAGAGGTTGCGCAGCTGCAGAGAAGCAGGTAGGAAAGTTGCTATGGGAAAAAAATCAAGCCTCCAGCCTCCCCTCTAACCCAGGGGGGCCAGAGCAAGATTGGGCAGTTCTAGGTGCTGAGGGTGGTTCTGTCCCTGGAGAAGAACACTGCACATGTTTGCAGCTGGACAGCTGCTCTACAGCTCCTGTCTGGCCCAGCCCCCCACTGGATTTCCACACCTAAGGCAGTGAGGAGAGATGCTTCAGTCCTGCTCCCCTCCATAAAGCAGACTCCCCAGCCCAAGCAGCTGCTTTCCCTCCCCTGCTTGGCACCATGCCCTCCAGCTCTGAAGCTCAGCCTTGGAAATCTGCTAAAGTAGTGCTTCGCTGCATAGCAGGAGAGGGGTGGTCAGATGCTGTCGTGCCCTGCTGCAGGGCAGCCTTGAGGTTTTGCTCCACTGCCTGGCTCACTGTGGGTTTGGGAAAGGCTCACAGCAGTGGGGAGGGGGCAGCGACCCAGAGCAAAATCCATAAACTTTGTCCGAGCCTCACTGCAGAGCCTTGCTCAGCCTGTAAAGCAAATACACGGAGCTCTCCAGCCCTGCAGCCACAGCTCCACCAGGCAAGGGCATCGGCCCTGCTCCTGCAGCCCTCACAGGGCTGCCTGGCTGCCCCAGATCTGCAGGGCACAGCCCATGTGGCTCAGTGGTGCCACTACAGCTGCTCAGCTGGTTTGGAGGATGCCACGGTCCCTGGCAGTGGGCTGGAAAGGGAAACAAGGTGCACGGAAGGCAACTTGATGTTTTGTGCTGGGATTATGCCCCTTTGTCGTTAAGGCTGGTCACTTGTACTCCATCCCCCTTAGCCCTGGCATGTCTAGACAGCTCTGCTGTGGCATGGGATGGACATAGATGGTAGGATGATATAGGGCTTCAGCCGCCTGCCTCTGCCTTTCACTACAGAGCAGCTGGAAGCACCTCTGGTTGCTTTCCAGGAACAGGGAGCCTCCCTGCCTTCTGGCCTGGCAGGAGTTCCTGGTCCAGCTGCAGGAACTGGCCTAGGTCCCTACAGGCTCAGGGTGCAGCTCCTCCATACCTAGCAAGCAGCCAGACCCCTGGATTCCTGCCTGCAGCCACTCCTTTGCAGAGGGGCCCAGCTGCCACGTGCCCTCTGTGCCAGGTGGGGGCAGCCAGCTCTCAGGGAGCAGTGCCCACAGCTGTTCTACATCCCCCCAGCTTTGGTATACGTGACTGTTTAAACCACCTATTACAATAAACCGACATCTCCAAACTGATACTATGAGGCACTGTTTTCTTTCTGCTTTAGCAATGCGTACCTGTGTGTTTAAGAGAACCCACATCTACAAAACCTTCTGCAGGAAGGACAGAGCTGTAGGAGAACCACATACGACAGGAAAAATGGGAGGGAAGGCTGTGGGATTTGCACTAAGTTCATGCACAAGCAGTGGCAGCAGGCCTGGAGGGCAGTAGCTCTCCTCTGCCTAGAGAGCTGGTAAGTTGATACTCATCAAGACATGCTGAGTGTAGCTGGGCAAGCTGTTCCTGAGCTCCTCCAGTCATCTGCCAAGTAGCTGTTCCACAGGCCCCATCCTGCAAGGCAATGTGTGTGTTCAGGCTGTGAGAGCAGTTCCAGGGATTAAGTTCCCAGAGAGCTGCATATCAACAGCTTTTCATACACCCTATCCATAGCTGGCCAGAGCTGGAAGTGCCAGTGATGTAGCCAACAACAGAATTTCTTCTGGGAAAGATGTACTGAGTAGCTAACTAATGAAGGAAGAAGAGCAGCTCCAAAGAGCAGCTTGGACACGTTCCCCAGAGCAAGCCGAGCCCCAGTCTCCTCCAGTGCTGAGGTGGAGCTCACCCAGCTCTTTCTGCTCAGCTCTGATGATAGATCATCCCGATGGGAGAGATCCATTAAAGTCTTCCCCACAAGCAATGTCCTCCTTTCCTTGTCAAGGCCCGCTGGCACCACAGCGCCCTGGATGAGACCAGCCAGTGTTCATCTGCAGATGGAGGCAAGCTTACTTGGCGAGCTGCTCTGGAAGTCAGAGTGCAAGGACAGAGTGGGATTAGCAAATTGCCAAGCAGATGGTTGTAAAGTTCCCAGAGGCCAGGGAGAGGTTGGACACACGCACTGACAGGCAGATACCCACACAGCAAAGCCTTCTACATGGATCAAGGAAATACTTTGGGCAGCTGGGTGGTTTGGAGGCATCACATCATACTCGGGGATGCGTGTGCCCCGCTCTCTGCCTTCCCCCGGCAGACATATGCTCTGCCTAGCATCAGGTCACAGGACCTAATCACAGCAGCCCACCAACTAGATCTGATGGTCCCATTTCCTCCCTGCTCTGCGGCTCGCACACAAGACTAAAGCCTCATTACTCTTGTCACCTGCAAAAGATCCTTGATACGATCCAAATGATTTGATGCAGACTGTGTGACTTGAGTCACCTGTGAAGATGTTTGTCATGACACAGGAAATGCGAGTCCCTTTGGGAACAGGATACTTGCACAGCAGTCAGTTCAAGTTCATGAGAAGCAGCAAGTTCTGCAGGAACTGGCTTCCTAGGAAAAGCAGCTGAAATACCAGCACGTTCCAGAGAACATAGCCAAACACCATGTTGGGGAGCTGAGTTCCCAAGTTGTTTTCACAGGGAGCTACGTGTCTTGTGCTCTACTTGCATCACCACAGCTTCAAGGCAGCAGTGCCTTCTCCCATTCCTTCCTGCACTGTTTACGCTTCTGCCTTCTCACTGCTTTACAATTCCATATCAGTCAGAATCTTACTGCAATTCACTTTATTACCCACAGGTTGCAAATGAATAGATTACATATTCTCTCCAAACAACTCAGCCACTGCATATGAACTCTGTCCTGACAGAATCAAGCTCCAACCAGAGCTGGTCCTTCCTACCGAAGTAGTTCATTTCTCAAACATTTGTGCACCACTTGATTAAATGCAAGTGTGAGTACAGACCATTATCCACCAAGTTGCAAAGAAATCAATTTTAACAGACAGCGATGGCAACAGGGCTTAGGGAGACATAGCCTGTCAGCATTCTAGGAGAATAAGCTCTCAGGGAATCAAAAAATGCCATGGTCCACATTTCAGGTTAATAACAGAGGTGTATTAGCTGTATTTCCAATACACAGGAACACAGACCATCTTTGACACTAGCTCAACCACCACAGTTGTCTCTCAGGGAACTCATACGAGAGAGAATCCAGCCAGAATCCATCCCACCACCTGGGGCACAGGCTGGTGGGGGCACACCCACGGCTGCAGCGCATCTCCTGCCTGATTTCACTTCCTCGATTTCATCGCCGTGACCACCATGCCTCCCAGGAGGGCTGCGAAGGTGAAGCCCTGGGCCAGGATACGTGCCCTCATCATCAGCTGAGACTGGCGGACGTTGCCCCTCTTGAAGCTGATCAGCCCGTAGGTCAGGACGCCGACAGTGCAGAGGCAGCCTGCCCTGTGTTTTGAGGATGGGTTTTTTTTTTTTCTTTTTTCAATTACCATTATTTTCTGAAAGACTTATTTCACTTTTTGTGCCATCTTAACAATGTGTATTTGCTCTGGGCTAAAATGTAATGTCTAATCCTTAGGGAAGAACAGTGGAAAAGGAAAAGCTTCTGCCAGTCAACTTGCAGCATAGCATGAAACAGTCAGCTGTGAAGCTGAGGGTCCTGATTTTGAGTTCACGCCATTATCAATGAGATATAAATCCTGTGCCTAATCACCTCATATAAATTGCACCATTTCTAATCACACCATTATAAGTCACTGTACATAAGAGACTCACAATCTGATTGTGTATCAGTGCTTTTTCTGAAGTCCTGGTATTGATTCCAAATTATTTCCATTTCCTGAAGTGTATCAAACACTAGTGACAATGGGGGTGTTGAAGATGATGAGAGGCCATTTAGAGCACTTGGGATATTAAATTTAGACTGGTCTGCATCTGTGAATAATTTTGAGGGATTTGAACTACAGAGCCTTTTTTATCAATTACTTTTTGCATCGGATTGCTGTAACATGAAGGATTGCTAATTTGAGACTACTTTGCCTTGTGTTCCAAAAGCCTGTAAATACTTCTCTATTTGTAAGCAGATATTAACCGTGATTGCTGTACTTTTAGTAGTTATGCAAACAATTTCATGCTAGAACTCTTCAGCAAGTGTAAATAAGAACTAGTTTGTACTGCGGAGCATCATCTGCATTTATTTGCTTTACATTCGTGTCTGAATGTCCCAGGAGGAATTGCAGGTTTATTATGTTAGGCGTTGCACAGCTGTATTGTAAGTACCGGTTCTTGGCTCAAAAAGTTCACAACTGAGATATACAGTGGAGACAGATGAAGATTTATTTTTTTTCCTGTTTTCCAAATGCAGTGAAAGGGGGGTAGAGGGAGATTAAATTTTTTCACTCAAGGTCATAATGAATGTCTACGGCAGAGCTGAAAATGAGTCTACACTTCCTGAAGGCTAGTGAGAAAACAAGAATTGGGTTTGGCAGAAAATTTCACTGTTTTGAGTCTGGTTTCCTTTGTAATAAGTGAGGGAAAACAACCCTTCAGAAATTTCTTATGCATAAGAAAAGGTGCATGGGAGGGCTGTGTGGGCAGGGACGGGAGCCCACGCGGTGTGCGAGAGCGGGCCTGTGCCCGGCGGGGAGGGGAGCTGATTTCTCCACGCGGGGGTGGGCGTGGGCCAGGGCTGATCGCTGCCGCTGCCCCCAGCTCCCACGTGCGCCATGCCTGGGACCCCGCCAAGTCGGTGGCGCAGAACCTGGCCGACATGGGCCTGGCCGAGGACCCCAACAAGGCCGTCCCCATCCCGAAGAAGAAGCTGCTGGTGAGCGTGGCCCTGCCGTCGGCCTCCGCGGGGCCCGGGGGGTGGGCAGCCCTCCCAGAGGGTGCGCGGTGGGGCCGGGGAGGGCACCGTGGGGAACAGTGCACAGGGCGGGTGACTCTGGGATCCCTAAGCTCTTCTGCGAACATCTGGGTATGGGGATGAGCGAATGTATTGGAGAAAGAGAGCAGGCTTTAAAATCAGAACAAATAAACCCGGTCTCCTGGGATTTGCCTGGAGAGAAGTGGGATTGGGAACGCTGCAGCCAGCTTGCTTTAGCTAACAGAGAAACCCCCTTGGCATGAAACAATGTGAGCGCAGCCTGCCTTCATCGATAGGTGAGGCTTCCAGGGTGGCCTCATGAACTGTCACTCTTGTCAGAAAGAACAGAAGTGATACTTGTCTCTGTTCACACGCTATGTTCCAGTGCACAGTGAAGGGCTGTGCAGAGATCGCTCGTGACGGGCAGTGCTCTGCTGTACCACGCAGGCTTGCCCATAGGCTAGCTTAATGACTCAAAAAAATGGTTCTGTTTAGGCCAGCTGAGATTCCCTAGTCCGCAGGGCTGTTATGGAAATAGTTAAGAGTTTGGGGAGCAGCACAGAGTCCCAACTCTCCTCCAGATAGACTTTTCTTGGGTTGTCTTGTCTCTCATTCAATGCAGGGGGCGGAGATGGAAATCGATGGACAGGAGAAAGGGAAGAAAACAGTGCGAAAGCCCTATGTGTTGAACGGTTAGTGCTGCTTTTATCCTCCTCAGGGAGCACAACTTCACCGTACGCAGCCTTGGTGGGTGTGCTGCTCTGTATCACTGTTGTCATTACATGTGGGGGCTTTGCTCCCAAGGCTCTGTAGGTCATTTTGTCTCTCATATTTGTGCTGCAGGACTGTCCTTAGCCATTGTGCTGTGACACTGGCAAGGAAGGTTATTAATTCTTGTACATTCTTTGCTTTGCTTCAGAGGTTTTAAGCCTTGTGGGCTTGTAAAGGAGTACTCGCAGTACTCACCTGGAGACGTCAGCTTAGGGAGTTCCCAGCCAAGGCTGGAGCTGAGCCAGGAGCTAGCAGAGTAGTTCTGCCTTTCCAGTATGCAGCCTCTCTCATGACTTTCCTTTCCCTCCTGTTGTGCCTTTTTCTTAAGGCTTTTGTCTGCAGCCCTAAGAGGGCTCTTGTCACTCTGAGACTTGCTGATTCTGGACACCGATGTGACAAGAAGCAGTGGTTGTACTATCCTGAGTATTTTAGTGGTGGGCTGCATGGCTCTGAACAGTTGCACACTGCAGCCTGGACAGCAAATGGTCTGTTCCTTCCTCAGAGTGTGAGCTGGACAGGAGCAGCAGCACAGACCTAGACACCTGCATTGTACACAAAGGGCTGCTCTCTCGTTCCTTTTCTTGCATTATCATGCTGGTGAGCAGTCCGGTGTGTGCAAGCAGCAGAGCTGCGTTGCAGGAGCCAGCTCCTCTTTCTCCAGTGCTGACAATAGATCTTTAGAGGTAGCTGGCGTCCTCTGAGGTGCTGCTCGATCCCCTTTCCTTCCTACCTCCTTCACAATGTCTCTGTCCTCTGCCTAGAGATGGAATATGAGGCCAGTCTTCCTGAGAAGAAGTCAAACACACTTTCGCGAGACCTCATTGACTACGTGCGGTACATGATACAGAACCATGGCGAGAACTACAAGGTAGGTACTGGCTGTCCCAGAGCAAGGAGGACCTGGAGTTTCTCACTACTGGCTTCTGCAGAGAGGGAAATGCTAAAGGGTCTATGTCCTGGAACCTGTTTCCCAGCCTGGTTGATTGTTAAGGGGAGGCAGCACTTTGAACCGTGGCCCGATCCGTGTCTGACTCAGGTGCTAAATAACAGCCAGCCTGGGTAGACCTGCCTTTGGAGAATGGTTCGCGTGACTGGGCTGGTTTGGTGTTTGCTCATGTGGCCTCTAACTCATCCTCCTTTTCTTTGTCACAGGAAATGGCACGAGACGAGAAGAACTACTACCAGGACACACCCAAGCAGATCAAGAGAAAGATCAATGTGTACAAGAATTTCTATCCTGAGGAGTACAAGGATTTTGTTGCGTCGCTCAAGCAGGAAAAGATGGATGTGCAGTGACCGTCCTTGTTTGCGGGTTTGCCTGCAATTGCAGGCTTGATGCTATCACTTTCTGAGCCAAGAGGGAACAGGGACTGTATCTCCAGGTGACGGTCACTCACAGGCTGTGGCTCCTGGACCAGGACTCAGTGCCTGCAAGTTGAACTATGCAAAGCCTCTCAGGCTGGAAGAAGGACCTTCATGAGACAGAGACAGTTATGACCAGGCATGAGACACTCTTGGCTGTGGCTCATGGTGTTGGGGCTGAGTGTGCTCTGCTACTCCCCACTTCTTTTGCCTTGTTATAATAAATTGCTTTTTTAAACTGGTGTGAATATGTCTGGCCTATGCAGTTGGCCTGCTTCAAAGAGTTCCTTGTGCTGACCTATGGGGCGTTGGGCCTGTGTGTCACTGACAGGGCCCTCTGCAGCCATGGGGCTGGGGTACTTGCGGGTGTATGGGGCAGCACCTGGGGCTTTGCTGATTTCCCTGCACGCAGTACGGGTAAGAGAGGGGCCACATGCTGCTTCCCCTGGGAGTGACCTCCCTGCTTCCAGCTCTGAGAGCCTGGGCTGGGGGATGCCTTCCCTTCCAAGGAGGTGGAAGACAAAGCAGGGTCATCAGTCTCCTTTATTGAAAGAAGTCACTGTACACAAGATTTCACAGTATAGTCCAGCCAGCGCATACCCCTTCTCCATGATGCGTTCTCCAGCTTCCCCTATTGGTTTTCCAGGGCCACACGTACTGCGGCCTAACCAGCAGCCTTTCCACAGGCAGGCAGAGCTTGTGCAGTCCCTGAGCCTGGCTCCTTCCCCTTCCCCTGGGGCAGCTGAGAGGGAGGGAGACCAGAGGACGGGCAAACTCCTGCTGGGGGAGATTCCTACCAAACAACACCTTGTCCCTGCTCAGGGTGAGGGGTTAGCGCAGGGCTGCCCGATACCTGCTTTTGCCTCTCTTTTGCAGGGCTTTAAGTACAAAGTCTGGGGAACTGCTGAGAACTGGGCCTCCTACCCCAGGTGAGTGGCAGACCAAACTGGTTATTCCCACTGGTGTGCGTGATGCTGGCCCTGTCTGACTGGCTGGGGTGGCAGGGCTGTGACACAGGGCTGTGTAAGCAGTTACTCAGCATGTTTCTCAGGAAGTACACGTAACCTTTTATCAGTTCAGGAAATCTGCCAAGAGTGTTCCTCTGTTGGGACTGCTGCTCTGAACAACCCCGGGAGCTGAGGGGTAGCGCTCTTCTGCAGAGCATGGGTAACATGGACCAGCAGTTCCCCCCTGCCCTGCACCATATGCTGCTGGCTATCATCTCTTCCCATCCCTCGTGCAAGTGAGGGGATGCGTCACCCTGCTATCAGGCATGCCTCTGCACGGAGACTCTGGGGACCCAGCTGGCAGAAGAAACTGCATCTGAGGGGCATCACAAACAGCCCTGCCCCAGGCAACTGGCTCTGGCCCAGTGGGGTGAGGGAATTGCTCCCCTCCGTGAAAGCTTCCTTGTGGGCACTGCCACTCTGCTCTGTGCCCTCTCCGCCATCCTGGGGGAGCCGGTCTGTGCCGACAGTCAAGGGGCCTGGTTCAGTTCTTTAACCTCATTCATTTCATAACCTGCTTGGCTGCTGTGAAGGCACAAGGCCCTGCCCCATGCTGTACCCTCTCTGCTAACCTGGAGGTAAAAGCCGTGCTTGTGCCTCTGTCTCAAGGGAGGCTTTGCTCTGAGTTGGGCAAGGTGGCTGCCCCTCTCCCCCTGGCAGAGGCCAGAGGCTGCTGCTCGTGTTCCCTGAGGGCAGCTGGCACCTGAGCTCTACCTCCATCCTCTCAGGGTGCAGCAAAAATAGCGCAGGGTCAGCAGATAACGGTGAGACGAAGCCCCTGGCTGCTCGCATCCCGCTGTCTCTGTCCCAGCACTACAATCCCCGAAAGGGGAGCTCCCAGGGCTGGGAGTCTGAGTGGGCACCCTGAGGACTCAGGGCTGCGAGAGCAGGGTGACCAGCAGGCTCTTGACGTGGAGGACACTGGTGGCGCTGCTGAGGCTGGCCCAGGTCGCGCTGGTGGGCAGGAGGAAGAACTCCCGCTGGCCGTCGAGGGTGTGCAGGGCCAGCTCGTCGTGCAGCTCCGCCGCGCTCAGGGCATCGCTCTTGTCCTGTGACGGGGAGAGGACACGGCTCAGGAGGGCCACTCAGCCGGACAGCCCCCCTCGCCTGCGGCCATTCCTGCAGGCTAGGACCAGCACGGCAGGGTGCCGACGGGCACCTCATCCCACCTGTGCAGCCCTGGCAGAGCCTGTGCGCAGGCAGGGCCTCTTTTCTTTTGCATTTAAGTCACTTCAGGGCAAAATAATAGGAAGCAGCATGAGGCACGCGCTTGGCCGTCTGCCCGGAAAATGTAATTCCCCTGAGGGTCTTTGCACACTGCAGCGTGCCTGGGTGCTTTCCCAAAACTCATTAGCTGAGATAAGAGGAGCAGCTCACGCATTGGTAACGGCAGCCTCACTTCACGATACGGGCTGGAGGAGACAGGCCCTGAGAACGTGGATTTTACAAGAATTGGTGGGAGGCACGCGCTTGGCCGTCTGCCCGGAAAATGTAATTCCCCTGAGGGTCTTTGCACACTGCAGCGTGCCTGGGTGCTTTCCCAAAACTCATTAGCTGAGATAAGAGGAGCAGCTCACGCATTGGTAACGGCAGCCTCACTTCACGATACGGGCTGGAGGAGACAGGCCCTGAGAACGTGGATTTTACAAGAATTGGTGGATACTGGGTGTCAGCCTTTCCCCTCAGGGCCCTGAGGAGGGACAATTCCCCTGCAGACAGCACGGGCAGGAGCTAGGGGACAGCGGCAGGGAGCGGACACCCACCTGCTTGTTGGCCAGCACAACCAGGGGCAGCCGGGGCTCCTCAGCCAGCAGCGCGTGCAGCTCCTGGCGCGCGGTGAGGAGGCGCGACCTGTCCACCGAGTCCACCACGAACACCAGCACGTGGGCCTGGCTCAGCGCCCAGCGCGGGGGCGAGCCGGGCTGCGCTGCGTCCCCGCAGCGCCCTGGGAAACGGGCTCTCGCAGGGCCGGAGAGCAGCCCTGGCTGCGCTGCACCCCCAACCCGGTGCTGGTAGGTGGGCAGAGGCTTACAGGGGGCTTTCAGGGCCAGGCTCAGTCCTGGGGTGACAGTGGGGGAGTCAGGGCCACCCTTACCCTCCAGTAGGTCCATCTCCAGCCCCTCAGTGTGCAGCCGGGCAGAGTTGAAGCCGTGCGTGGGCGCGATGCGCTCCTTGGCTGTCTCACTGCAGATGTAGTGCAGGACGCTGCTCTTCCCTGCTCCGTCCAGCCCCAGGACCAGCACCTGCCTCCAGTCCAGCTGCAGCAGAGGACGGCATGGGGGGGGGGGTGGGGGACCGGCACCA